GACCAAACATTTGCTATACATGTTAGAAGAAATCAGAACTTCACTGATGCAAAGGCTGGTAGTGAAAAGGTAGGCCATGATGAAAGCTACTGGTGTGCTTTGTCCAAGGATTCAAGCGAAGTTGGATTTTGAGAAGACAAAGGCTGCTGAATGTGAAGTGTACCCTTCTTTTGAAAATAATTTCAATGTTAGCTACATATTGGATCAATTGGTGGTGAGGTTGGAAGAAAGTAGTTGTACTTGTAGAAAATGGGACATGACTAGCATCCCATGCTGTCATGCTGTTGCCTGCATCTATTTTGTGGGAAGGAGCCTGAGTTATATGTGCACTCATCATATTTCAAAGACACTTACATGTCAGTTTATGCAGGTACAATAACTGAACCATTTCAACATTTGTGTATTACTTTGTTAGTGTATGTGTATGTGTCACATGTTACTTGTGTATGGCAGGCTCAATTCCCCCAATTCAAGGTGAAAGACACTGGCCTAAAGTGTCCAAATCAATTGCTCCACCACCAATCAAAATTGGCCCAGGAAGGCCAAGAAAAATAGAATCAAAGACCCCCATGAGATCCCTAAGAAATCTGGTACAATGACCAGAGCAGGGATTGAGATGACTTGCTCACTCTGCCAGCTTAAGGGACATAATAAAAGAAAGTGCCCCAACAAGGACAATGTGCAGCCAACTGAACCTGCTCCAAAAAGGGCTAAAGGAAGGCCTAGAAAGGATGCTCCACCACCAACTCAGCCCTCAATAGCTAGTCAGGCTGTGCCATCTACACAAGCTAGTCAGGCTGTGCCATCTGCACCCAAGGACCTAATACAAGTCACTACAATCAAACAGCTCAACCCACCATACTAGGTAGAGGGGGAAGAACGATAAATATGGGAAGGGGCTCTAGGGGTGGAAGGGGTAGTGGAGATGGTGCTGGGAGAGGTGTTGTTGCTGGTGGGAGAGGGGCTACTGCTACTGGTAGAGGAGTGGATGCTGGGAGTGGTGTTGCTGCTGGGAGAGGCTCTGCTGGAAGAGGTGTTTCAAGTACCGCAGGCTCCAGCAGTGGTGGTGCAAGTGGGAACAGGGGTGCTGCAAGTGGGACCAGAGGAAGGGCAAGGGGTGGCTCAAGGGGCAGGGGAAGGAACCAGGTGGGTTTTTGTTCTCATACATCCCTCAATTAGATCCTAAACTTGTTTATGGTGTGTACTTATTTCCTTGAATTTTTTGTGTTTTGTGCAGATTCCACAAGGTGTAGGTATGTACATTGCACCTAATGGATCAGCCCACACTAATCAAAGAAGGACAAGGTCAGCCATGGACTGGTTTCAGTGCAGTCAAACAAGCCAAACCTCCACTTTGCAACAAGGACCAACTCAATAGTTTCATGTCACTCATTAGACTTAACTATGTTTATATTATACATTTGGATACTGTCTTTTGATCATGTTGGGTGTGCTAATTCCTACAGCAATTACACCCAATTCATGATGTATTTTGTGTATGAATGTTAGGCAAGACAATGTCACCATCTTTTGTTGAACTTATGCAGCTATGTGATTATGCTACATGTCTGAATTTCAAGTATTGTGCAAACAATTGTCAAAATAACTTTCATTAACTCATCAATGCATTTCTCATTACATAACAACTTGGTCTTTGCTCAATACATGTCATAAATGACCACAACACATTACTTAACCAAACTAAACTGACTTCACTTTTAACTACCTACAATCATTTGCAATACATCACAGTCATGCCTTCAAAATCACTATCATGAAAGCAAAGACAATCCAAGAAACCAACAGAAAAATGGAAAAATTCTTTTCATTCCTTGTAGCCTTCATCAATTCAATTCGAGTGTGGCAAAGCTCCATTTTGGTGTCATCTAATTCATCCTCTTTACTTCCCATTTTCTTCTCAACCTTCTTCAATTCTTCTTTAAGGAAATCAATCTCCATTTCCTTTTCAGCAACTTGAGTATCTCTTTCAAACACTTGAAATCGTAGGTCATCAACAACTTTGGGGTTAACATGAGCCCACTCAAAGAAGCCACAGTCACCATCCTGCAAAAAAAATAAAAAAAAACCCCAATTCAATTAGAATGAAAACCCTACATTCAAATCCCCAATTTAATTGGAGCAATTAACCTTAATTAATCACACACATAATGTCGCAATACACCTGGAACTTACAGGCCATCTAGGGCATCCATGGAACTTCAACCCCACGTTCTCACCATTCTTAACCGTGTGTGTAATTGCTTCCAAACCACACCTGCACTTCATTTTTGATGCAACCAAGCCGTAATTCCTTGACGAAGTAGAACTACTTGACCCATTATGCCTCCTACTAGCCATTTTAGATAGATTTAACAAAGAAGAAATTTAATTAAGAGAAGAAAATCAGAGGGGACAGAGAACGAAGAAGGAGAAAGCAAAATTGTTGACTTGGCAATTTTTAAAAGGATTGTAACCGTTGGTAGCCACGTCATCCCAAAACCGGCTACAATAGGTAAGGTAACCTGTAGGGACCAATAGAAAAGATTGGGGGGTAAAGGTGGGATTATTAAAAAATAATCGATAGGTGGGATTATTTTCAGCGGACGGGCAAAAGGTCGGATTAATCCGAGCAATTTTTCCTTCGCCCAAAATTATCCCAATTTTTGTTTATTTTTTAATAATTCGAACTTTAATGTCATTTTGCTTTCAATGGTCCCAAGCGACTCGTAACTTGTTGACCATGTAATTTTTTTTTAAGTTTAATATTCATATGTCGCTACATGATTGGTCAAAATAAGTTTAAATTTTATTTAGTTACTAATTAAATCTTACCTAACTAAGTAACTATTGTTAGCTAATAACTACGCATTTTACAAAAAAAAAAGCACCATTAGAAGTGCCAGCCACCTCCTCGGCCCTCACCATTGCCCAACCTTCACCCACCGTTCAGTCGAGTTAACCCGTCACCCCATAGCGCCGAGACCCACTCCCCAGCACCATTCCCGCCGTCGCTTGTCCCCTTAAACCACCATAGACCCACCACGAAACCCCCTCCCCTCCCCTAAAAAATCCTTAAGAAAAACCCTTTCCCTCCTCTTATACCGCCCACTCGCTAGGGTTCTGAGGGTGAGCAAGGTGGAATTCGGGGGTTTTCCGTTGGGGGAGGTTTTTAAGGGATTTCGAGGGATTTTTTTTAAGGGATTTTGAAGGAGGTTTTTTAAGGGATTCATGGGGTTTTGGGGTTTGGGACGACGACAAGTGGTAGGATGAAAGGTGGCGCGGTTTCTGGTGCGGGAGAGGGGGCCGAAGAGTGGCTGGAGCGTGGTGCTGGAGTTGCCGGGGAGTGGTGGTGGGTTTTAGTTAGTTTATTGAATTTTTAAAATCCTTATTTTTAGATTTTTTTTTACCGATCCCGTCCTGACACGTGTCAGCTAACTTGATACAACAAGTTGGATGACCGGTTGGGACCATTGAAAGAAAATTGATATTAAAGTTCGGATTATTAAAAAATAATCATAAGTTGGGATTATTTTGGGTGAATGAGGAAAAATTGGGATTATTCTAAAGTTCGGATTATTAAAAAAAATACTCTTTTTTTTTTTAGTTAAGTACAAAAGTGAGTACTCAGTTTTAACTTTTTTTACCTTTTGGGTACTCTAAGTTTTTTTTTTCACCTTTTAGGTACTCTACTTAGAAAACCGATAAGTTAACCCAATATAAACCCACCGGAATAAAACATAGTACCTTAGCTAAATAAATGCAGCAAAAACTCAGTCCCTTCATTGAATTTTAATTCCAAAAAACACAGTCCCTTCTGACAAATTAAGCAAGACCTTGAATATTTCCTTGCAAATACAAAATACATAATTAAATCCCAAAAAGTAGCCGTTGCAACTACAACAACATACTAGACAAAATAACAGCAACTTAATTGCTTAGACAAAATAATTATTTGAAGCTAATTCACACATTCTCCCCTGTCCAAGCCCTGCAAGGAAAAAAGAAATGACAACAATAAATAATTTTTGCAGATGTAATAGGAGGGTGGCTAGAAGAAAATCTAAGTGTGAAATGATCAAATTGATTCAAATTAATTAGATGCTGCATAAAATGGAGTACAAGATGTAGATTTCCATTTCTTTTTACAGAATTATTATCTTATGTCTAATTGTAATTATATGTGTTTTTTTTATATACAAGTAAAAATTTACATGGCTTAGTACATCCTCACTGTTGTAGTAGTTGAACTAGTGTTGGATTGTGACTGAGATGCTTGGGTTGTATGAACTAAGGCAACCTAAATCAAACATGCACCAAACACATAACCCATTTTAGCACACCCACCATATAAATTACACACATATTCGCATAATTGAACCACATAATTGGAAAAAAAAATTCCAGACCCTAATACCAAAATATACACATTTGAAAAATTGAACAATTTCGCAAAAAAAAACACAACAATAGAAGTACAGAGGAAGCCCCCAAATCAGAAGAATATTCAAGGTTGCAGAGAGAATTTGAGAAAATGAACAGAGGAATAAATGAGAAATGGGAGAAATGAAGCCTAAATCAGAATAAAAAAAGACCCTTGGTATTCCAAACACTGCGTTTTAATTTTAGCCACAGAATTAAGTAGCTTGAACAACAAGATCCCACTCCCCAAGGAACACGTGTGCCAATCCTATCCGTCGCCATCAAATCATCATCAGACGTAATTAATAGGGGATTGAGTTTTTTCATCATCTCAAAGAATTTTTTTAAGCGGGTCCCACATATACAAGGGTACTCAGTTTTTAGGAGTTTTTTTTTAAAGTGGGTCCCAAGTGTAACCAAGGTACTCAGTTTTTAACTCACATTTGGTTAAATTTTGACTGGAATATACATTTGATTACCTAAAAGGTAAAATAAAAAACTTAGAGTACCCAAAAGGTGAAGAATGTCACAACTGAGTAATCACTTTTATACTAAACTTTTTTTTTTTTTAACAGCAAGTAAAGTGAAGTATTGAAGTTGCAAATAATGGGTCAGTGAAGTAACAATCTCTTTCTCATTTTCTCTCTCCTCCTCCTCTCGATAAGGCCATCCATCCATGTCGAGAGGAACAGGCAAGCTAGTTGAGCAGGTGAAGCAATTCGCCGATACCCAATGCAAAAACTTCACTCACCATTATGGTCAGCAAGTTATTGACGTTTTCGAATTCCCTTTAAGGGTTGTTCTCTCTCCTTTCACCATTGCTTATGGCATTGCTGGTTCTGCCCCTCGAGGTTTTGGTATTCCAGAATTCATCTCCAAAGTTTCCTACACTACTATATTTGTAAGTTTTTGCACTTACCCCTTTTTTAAATCTCTTTTTTGGTAGTGGGTTTTGAAGATTTTAAGCTTCTGGTTGATTATTTAGTCATAATTTAGCATTTGTTTGTTGGGTATTTTATGGGATTGTTTAAGAATGTTGAATTGTTAGGGTTCTTTGCAGTTTTTATGAGTTGGGTGCTTAATTTTGCTTGTTGGGTGTGAATTTCTATTGACATTTTACCTAGTACTAGTATTGAGTTGGAAATTGTTGTTTTGATGTAATGTTTTGTGGGGATGCTAGATGTTAAATTTATGAGTGAGCATTAAAAATTAGCCGGGGCTAATACCCTTGTACAACGAACTTTCGAGCCGGAGTAGGGTGTAATTTCATTATTTCAAGACGAATTGGCTATGGGATGAGTAATTTAGTGTGCTTCTAATGAGGTCATTTTCATTTGTACACCATACATATATGGGGTTTAACACTCCCACTCACATATTAGTGCACTATTCACTATAGCAAATTGGAAATATAAACAACTAGAATGTTTATTCAGGTTGGTTAAGACCAAATTCCTATACAATTGCATGATTATAGGCTGGGATCATCAAACATATCAGTCCTGGCTCTCGTACCTGGTTAACTTTTATATATTTCCAAACATAACTACATAAGCCTCCAAAACCGATCATGACTTTTTATCTGAAGATACACTGGTGATGGGATGTATAAGTCCATTTGCTTATAATAATGTTATATTCTTTCTTCCGACTCTTTTGCTTTCAACACATGTAAGGGGTATAACACTCTCCCTTAACATTATAGTGCCCTATCAACTAGCTAATTAGAAATACAACAGACGAGAAAACTCATTAGGGCCAGTAAAGGCCAAATTCTCATACAATTGCATGATTCAAGGCTCAACTTATCAAACAAGTCAACCTTGGCTTTTGTACCCTGTAAACTTTCGATATTGCAAAAACCAGGAATTAAAATAATGATAAAGAATTGAAGAGAGTTTGATCAATCATAAGACTTAGTGAAATATCATTCCTAATATTGGCAATGAGAGACACAACTATCCATTGTGAAACCGATATGTACCTGATCATGAGGCATTAGTTAACTAGGGGTCTTATCCTCTTAAGCTCCATCTGATCAATTACAAGCTAACCTGTTAGATTTTCAATAAATTTGTCAGCCGAGAGTAAGTTTTTCTTTTTGGAAAGACTGTCAAGTTATTCTGCTTCTCCGCTCTGGATTCAAAATCTAAACTTAGTAATAATTGTAATAAGTGACTCCAGTTGTATTATGGCATGGTCTCATAGATCAGCATAGAGTACGGACTTCTTGTTAGCCAAAATGACTTTCCATAAAAAATTGGCTTCTGAAATGTAACTCCCAAGACTTATAAAGTGGTTATATATATTCTCTTTTTCTCCAAATTGTGCACGACACACATGTATGTGCTTCAGCAAAAGCTACATTTGAGATTCCACAATTAGTAGTTGCTCTGTTGTATATTGTACTAGTGCCTCATTGTCTGATGATCTTGATTGTCTCCTTTTCTATTGTGGTTGTTTTTTTCACTTATGTCTATATGCTTGTCATCTTTTTTTTTACATATTATTACCTTAAAGTTAATCTCAGTATGGTGCTCTTTGCCCATAAAGAGGCATTACCTTGATGGTATTATTTTTTGGTTGGGGGACCACTGACACTGAGTTAGAAACTTTTGCAGGATAAGGAAATTGAAACTCAACAAAGTTATTTTGTAGACTATGTAGAGTGCATTGATGATGATGATTGAATTTTAAGCTCTAAAGCTCTGATTGATGTGCTTGCTAAATATTCTGTATGCTCTTTCAGGCAGTTGCTACTCTTGGAACTTGGGATATTGCATTTGAGCTGGGGAAGAAAGTGATATGTCAGAGGTGCTTAAGACCTACCTTCCAGTTTCTTAGTTGTGCAAATCGTGCTATTGCTTTCGGCTTTTGAACTTACATGAAAAGAGTTTTTGACATTAAAATTGGGGTTTTTTAAGCTTAACGTAGGTATCAATTATGACATACATGGGCGATAAAACTTATCCATTTTGTATTATAACAATATCAGGCTTCCCCACCCCCTTTGTAAGTGGTTCAAGAGAAAATATTCTTGGTACTATGCCCGGATATAACCATGCCACATTTTTTTTTGGTCACATTTTATTTTGCTTGCAGCTCTTGTGTGTAAGAGATGAAAACAATATGTTACCATAAAATTGAGAGGTTTTAAATGCTTACACTATGTTTGGATTGAGAGAATTGGAGGGAAAGGAAGAGAAGAGAAAAGGAGGGAAGCATCATCCATTGTTTGGATAATCAATGGAAGGAGGGAAGGGGAGGGAATTGGAAGGATCCATTTTCCTTCTCCTTTCAATAAACCAAATCTCTCCATTGTTGGAGAGATTTGAAAGGAAAATAGAAAGTCACCTCCTCCCTCCCCTCATCTCCCTTTCCCTTCCCTCTTTTTCCTTTCCCTCCCTTTCCTTTCACTATAATTATCCAAACATAGCGTAGACTTTTTTAAACATGTGGACTTTTTTTTTATAGTGCGGGCTTTTGACGCAATTAGTAATACTCATCTAAGACGTTCTATTGTTTTGTTCCCCTTTTCTATTGTAGAGATTGCCGAACCTGTAGTGGATGGCAGGCATTACGGTGTACAATGTGCAGAGGCAGTGGGCAGGTACACTATCAAGTGAAAAGTTACACCTTGAAAAGGTAGGCCTAAGCTTTTTCTTGTTTTATTTATTTATTTATTTTTTTTTCTTTCCTGGCATATGTTCCCTAGCATCTTCAGACAGTAGGAATGGGAAAACTTTTATTGCTTGATTGAAATGCTACGAGTTACTCTGACAATGTCTGTAATATGTTTTGGCAGTGGAGAAAAACCAACTGCTGAGTCAGTTGCGGATGCAATTGCTAATAATCAAGCTGAGTTGTTTCATATTCCTTCAGCCATTGATTTGCATACACCATTGCCATCGAAGGAGTGTCCTACTTGTGATGGAACCGTAAGACTTCTTAGTTCTTATTATTGCAGTGGTGTTATATGTTTGGGCCTAACTATTTCTTGTTTGTTTTTTTTTTTTTTTCATCTCAAATTTCTGGCCCTTTACTCTCCTATCTTTCTGCAATATATGGAATCTCTCAATTACTGTGATTTTTTGGATGTTATTACAGGGTGTGATGAAATGTCCTGAATGTAAGAACAAACTACAAATACGAATCTCTGCTGATGATGTAAGTGCCTTAAATGCCTGATCAATTTTTAGCCCCTTAAAGCACTTCCATACCCGGCTTCTGATTATGAGCCATAGATTTGCTGATTGTTGTTCTTTATCTTTTTTCTTGCAATCTTATCAGTCTTGTGGAGATCCCATATTTGGTGTCAAATTCCTTCTTACTGCCTCCATTTGATGTTGTTAATGCAACACTTTCCTTTCTAATAAATTTATGAATAATTGCAGCATTATAATTTGCATGTTATTTTTCTCTATCTCTCTCCTATTCACATGGACCCCTCTTTTTCCTCTTGCAATCTCCTTCTTCATCAGTCATCACATGGGCTCCTAAAAACTTGTGCTCTTCACATGGATCCTCACTCTTGTGTTGCAATCAAAGAGCACCAAGGAAGTAAATTTATTTAAGAAAAAGAAAAGTGCTTATTTTACTATGAAAATATCCATTTCTGTTCTATGGTATAAAAACACTTGTTAATATATCTGTCAACGCACTCAGGAAGGGTCACCTTTTCATTCAGTGTATAAAAAAAACCTTTTTCTGTTAAAATCTAGCAAGATATGAGAATGGGGTCAAAGAGTTGAAACAACGTGCTCGGAACTTTCACTTCATGGAGACACCATCTTATAGGAAAAGGTGTAATTAATAAAAATCTAGAACCATATTAATATAAAATCATAGAATTGCAACAACTTTGCTTGATTTATCACCACTGAAATACCATTTTCATGGCCTCCCTATGCCAGATTGATTGGACCTACACATTTTCAGAAATTACAGCTTCCACAATTTGATATGTATGCATCAATTCTTTTGTATTTGGATATGAATTCTAGATAAACTACATACGTGCTTAATCAAATGATGAATTATGCAGTGGATATGTATGCATTGTATGAAGACATGTTAGATGATATCCTGAATCTTTTTCCATGTTCGAACAATCTTAAGGGGGGAAAAAAACAAATGAAATGATTTATCTGAAAGTATTAAGGTCCGAGGAAGAACAGAAATATTGAAGTAATAGGCAAAAGAGTAAAAACTACAGAATCTAATAATGTTGTTGTCAACATATCAACCATTAAACAAGTGTCAAAGCTAATCTGTTAAACACTGCAGCTGGATGAATGCTATGTAGTTTGTTTGGAGTATTACAGGCTTATACTTGGTTAAAACACTCCAGTTTCTCCAATCATGTGCACTGAAATATGCTGGAAAAAAAGCATTGTTTAAAAAGCTCTCTTCAAAAATCAGTATGGGGCTATGGTCGATCAAGTCTCCTATTGTAGTGGAGACAATATGAAAACCGTCTGTATACTCAAATCTAGTGGCCCAGAGTAGTTCTATGTGCAACTGTGTGAACATGTTATGAAGAAGAATAGGTATTCAAATAACACTATGCTTCTGAATAGTTCTTTATTTTTATATAATGAATTCTTAGCAATCATATATTGCAAAGCTATATTCTTTTTATGAGAATAGCGAATATCTCTTGCAAGACACTGCATGTGTTTGCCAATAATATCTCTTGTGTTTTCCTTTTCAGATTATGGAGCCTCCATGGAAAGCTTATAATGTCTTAAAAAAAATGGACTATCCATATGAGGTAGGTACCATGGCTCATTGATCTTCATCTTCTTTGGTCATTCTCAGCTGCATATTTCTCTCTAATTGTCTTCCTGCTCTGCAGTATCATCATTAAAGTGCTGCAGGGTTTCCCTTTATTTCTGAGAATCACGATATTATAATGTTTCTTAAATCTGCAACATAAATTGTCTTGTCATTATCTTGAACTTGGCTTAAATATAGTGGTGGTTTGTGAGAAGAAAGAATAAGAATCTGTTCCTCTTGTTAGTGTGTGCATACTTTTTCCCATGAATTGCGTTCATTGTTATAATGTGTTGCAGGATGGCATTGGCAATGGTCTGCACTATTTGCAGTATTATTCATTTTCTTTTAAGTTTAGAGCAAAAGATCAGTTTTGATAACCTATAGGGGAATCAGCCAACACAAAATGAATAAATTATCTTATCTATTTTGATTTGGCATAGCCTCTTGTACTCCAATGTAATTGTAACCATATTAATACAATAAACTTAACGTATTCATTTATTATTTTCTTGGTTTTTGCTAGTTTTTGAGTAAGAAGAATAGTGATGGGTTCTAAAGTGTTGCTATAAGATGACATTCTTTTGGGGTGCTCAAATTCAGAGAGAATGACGGGGTTGAGGGAACTACTTTAGTTTGACTCTTCAACAAGGATCTGAGTATGGGACAATGGGTATGCATTTGAGGGTTGGACATGGCAATTTAATTAATTAATTTATTTTTTTAAGTTTAATCCAATTTAGGCTGTTTAAAGTGCACAAATCTCCAAGAATTATTATATTTGTGCACTTGAGGGTTGGATACTTGGGTGCTTGTAATCGTATAAAGTTATACCATAGAATTTACATTGTTGCATGTCTTCTACTTTGTTATTGCCTCAGCAAAATTATCTTTCACTGGACCTTTTGTGTCAAAACTGTCCGTTTTCACATTGTAAATGTACATATATATAATATTATACATGTGAAAAAGATCTTTCTAAAAACAAGAAGATAGTCAGATAGATATACAGCAGGAGGATAAGTTATCTTCACAGAGAAGCACTCATATATAAATTTGATATTTTGTTGGAGGCTAGAGGGAGCATTGGTTTCTATGCATAATAAGTGATTAATAAAGATGCATCCTTTTCTTTGCCAAATCCCAACTGCAATTGACACACATTTTTGGGGCATGGATGCATGATGACCATAAATTGCAATGTGTCAGGTGCTTCATTAATTCGGGGTTTGGGTAACCTGACGTTGTATTTTATAGGTAGGATCACGAGTGGCTCTCTAGCTTGAGCGCTTGTGTACACTTTCTTATAACAGATCCTAAAAAAAAAGGGAAACTACCTATGTTATCCTTATGTTCTTAGTCATTTCCGAAATGATCCTACTTCACAACATGGAAGTCTAGTCAAAATATTATTGATACTCTCCGACATTGTTCTTTGAAGTTCAAGATTACTAAGGAGAATGTCAAATAAGTGAGAGTTGGATTTCCCAACACGTGTCACGTCATTTTATGGGCTTGATATAGTTTATAATCTTTATATGCTCTTGATTACACTCCTTGTTCACCAACATAATTGCTCTTGTTTATTATAATTATTTTTTTTATATTTATTTATTTATTTTTCTGCAGAACATTATCCATAGCATGAAGGATCCAAGCATTGCTGCATTTTGGCTTCTAACTATGCCACAGATTGTTGGTGGATTCAACTTTGACGATGAAGTCAAACAGAAAATATGGTGGCAATACAAGGTTTGAGGTCCTTTCTTGTTACGCTATTCTTTTTGACAAAAATGCATAAAGCTTTCCTTCATATCTGGCACAAGGCTTGCTTTGTTGGAACCTGTCGCTTAAGAAACAAATTTTTAACCCACTGGCAATGAGCTAACATGTAGAATCCATCAATTGCAATCTCCTTGGTTATTCCATCTTTCTAAATTTCTTTACTAAAAATATTTCTGGTTTAATCAAGTACTCAGGACTTTCCTCTCCTCTCATTAAGTACTTTGATTAAAGATTTAATTTTTATATTTTCTCATTAACAAGTGCATTATTTGGGGTGATCTACTTTATTTAGTTTTGAAATTTTAGAGGAACTTGAAGGATGATGCTAAAATTTGTGTCTACTGTCACCAGTGCATATAGTTTCATTTTCTCTTCTGGATTTAGATACTCCTTGCTTTGACTCATGATTGGTTTCTGGTATGATGTTTCTTTCTCTTTGTATAGGAGTCAATGCGCTATGATAATTTGCGAGATGTAGTGGCTCAACGACAGCCTGGATGGGAACATTTGCAACAAGTAAGGTTTCCTTGATTCTTCCTGATTTTGCTACTGAATTGAAGTTTGGTCATCAAATTGCCGCGGTTAAGCTTGACTTACGTTCATGATGTTTGAACTAAAGTGTATCTATGTTGTTTTGGTGCAAGTTGAAGCTCTTTAATATCGTATTTTTGTTTCAGATAGTACTCTAATATTTATAAAGAGGGTGTTTCTATATGTTTTGATGACAGGCCTTAGTCACGCTTGATCCTGCCCGGGCTAGAGATGACCCTGTCGTTGTAAAAAATGTACCTTACTACAAGGCCAAAAAAGCGCTAGAGATGGAAGTTATGAAGCTTGATCCTCCCCCACGACCAAAAAATTGGGGTGTAAGTATGGTTACTTGCATAACTGTATCTACTAAGTAAAACAGTACATGTACAATAACCGAAGTTAAGTAAAACTAGAACTGGAACTAGCAGGTGTCTAGTCAAGCACTGGTAACCTAAAACCCTAATTATACTAGTGTGTGGGTTTATGCAGTTCCTTTTGTTGGAAAATATATTCTCTTTGCAGATGGCAGCTGGCACCTGGCTGAGAATCTGTGAATGTTGGAACTTGTTTTCTGAAACTTATGCAAGTCTGTTGTAGTAAACTCTATTCTTGTTAACAAGTGGATTTTTACTTTCCATTTGTTCTTAATAGGAAGTAACATCATTGTAAATCTATACTATGGACGAAAATATGCCAAGAAGATCTAACTATGTTTTCACGAGCTTGATATGCTCTATTTCATTGAGTAAAGTTTATTCAACTGAAAATGCATAACTGAAGCATGATTGTCTGGATTAACTACTATGCTTGAAATGCCTTGCAATTACAGGAATTGAATCTTCCATTAGATGCATCTTCTTGGAACAAGGATGACCTTAAAGATCCGAAGAAGATGGATGAAATGACTCTTCTCCTCAACGCTCAAAGGGAGATTGCTGAAAAAATTTTGGATGCGCAATGGGAGGCAAAATGGCGTCATAATAAGGTTGGTCATATCGATTCTTTTCAATTAATTCATTTCAAAATGGCAGCATACCCAAGAACTAATCTATGTAGAAAATCTGCAATTGAATATCAAAAGAAGCAATTAATCTGCCACTTTCCTGAATAGACTTAAAGTTAGTTTTTTACTTATGTATTTTCTTGGGGAGAAAATTCCATGGTAACATTTTGAATATGCTGCTTGTCTTTCTCAATGTGTAGTTGAATGAGATATTGGAAGAGAAGGTGCAACCATATATTCAGAATTTTGACACTCTTTCTCAACCAATCATCATGCATCCACCAGTTGAAGACAGAAAGGTTTGTACCATCCTAACACTAATCTACTTTCAAATTTATTTTGTTTGAATTAGTCGCTGCAATAATTCTTTCATTCAAATGGTTAGGCATTATCTGTAGTTTTTCCTGTATAAATATGCTAACAATTCACAAAAGTAAGTGCAATTGTTTAGCCTAAATCAGCATTGGAAATGACTGCTTTTAGGATATTATTTATATGCTATTGCTATCTATTGTTGGTAGAATGTCAACATATGGGACAAGGAAATCAAATGGACGGCATTCAGTTTTCTGATACTAAGAACCATTATGTCAAATACGTATAATGATTAAGATAATGAACTTTGCCTAAATAAGCACAGAAATTGATTTGACCGTTGGCAGTGGAATCTGTTCTTCTGGACATAAATTTTATATAGAATAAAATTCATGAGATTTTTGTTCATTGCTGATACAAAGTGTGCTATGAAATGTCCAAAAGAGTAAAAAAGTGAACAAAATGGTGCTGGATTTGTGGCAAATAGTTTCTTTGAAGACAAGATAATAGCTGAAATAATTGAACATTGTTTAGTATCAGACTACAATCAACCTTCTCGAAGATATATTTTATTGGTTATTGCTGGAAATATTGTTTGTGGAAGAAAATTCCAAAACCATTCCAAAGATTGGCCTTAATGTTTGATGACATTATGGCGAACTAAGATGAATTTTTCCATCTCAAGGAGCTTTATTATAAAACTTTGGGTAAAAATAAAGGGGGAAATAAGTGATGTTTGTGTTATAATATACTAATATAGTGCCTGTTTAGAAGGCTGGAAAAGATTTCTGATCTTGGAGACGAAGATATCACTTCTCCCTTAAGATAAATTGTTTAGACAGCAGTTTAGTGTGACTTGGATCAGGGTTATCCCTCTGCATCATCATTGAGATTTTCTATTTCTTACAATGATGTTATACCTATTGCAGCGGAAATCAAGGCAGCGGAGATGGTGGTTCTTTTGAAAAAAGATCATACGAGGTCAACAAGGGTGTTGTATTTTTGATAGGGTGTGGCTTCTGAAGATTGTTATAATATGTACATTTCGGAGTAGTCACTCAGTTATCTATAGTTTAGTTACTTTTGTGTCTTCAAGCTTTGTTTTAGCATGATGATGGTTGGATCTGTTTTCCAGCAATTCTAGCCTTGTAACCCCAAGTTTTTCAGACGTATTCCCCTTGCTTTATACTGAGGAAGAGGGATATACTATTGGTAAAAACATTGAGCTAAATTGCTTCATGTTATTATTTCAAATATATAATTTCATATTTTATCATCAGATGATTGATTTCCAAGGTTCTATAAAAGCTTTTTACTAACCCAAATAATGTTTCCGGCCAAACCCCTTGTTTCACATCTTATCTGCCAGTTGGAGTCCTAGAAACACAGTATGGACTAGCGTACGAGTGATTAGTGACTGTCCTACAGCTCTACCCCATTGACGGATCATCAAAACTATCAATAGGAGGCAGCAAGCTAAGTTATGGCACAAAGAGAACACAACCTGAGTTAATGCTACCGTCAAGAGGTGATCAGTCCTAATCTATTGAGGTTTGAACTCGTCAAGAAACTTGCAGTATAAGGTGCAATATCATGCACATATTGATCATACAGAACAAAGCTTGTCATGTGCAATTGTGCAGCATCATTGGTATTGTCTGCTGATAGTAACCTCAGTCTTATGGTAGATTAGGCTTTCTAAGTTACTAGGCTAAACAAATTATTCACTTAAGAAACATGAGCAAATGAATGAAATATTCATATATCTTTATTTTTCGAACAAAATTGAAGAAGGCTTTTGCCTTACATACAAATAGAAACAAACATATATTCCAATGGAACAATGCAACAAAGCCATACCCTAGATGAGAAGGTAAAATGTCTAAGTACACATAATTTGTTTTTTGTTTTTTTCTTCATTCAAGATATAATTTGTTCCAGAAAATGAAAAGGCAAGAGTACAAAAAACCATATCATAAATTTGAAATGAAAGTAAAAAATGTATAGGTTAGGATTAATTAAGACGTACAATAATGGTAAACCAAATTTAATCATACAATTCCTCTCGTATTACATAGGAGAAAAAGGCTCCTGTTAAGCGAAATCGGTGTTATGATCAACCAAGGTTTCTAGCGCAATGGGTGATGTAGGTGCAGCCTCTATTGTAGGGGTTGGCCCTAGTGTTATGGTTGCAGTTGTAGTATGACCGCCCTCGTCGATTGCATGGTACGTTGTTCTTCTTCAATGCATCGTAGCTTATGTACCTGCGTTTTACAAAGTTACCCTGGCCTCAAAGTTCACCTTGAAATTTTCCATTTAGTTTTTGAACAATATACAATCAACAACATTTATAAGATAATTTACTTGTGTGAATTTCATTGTACACCTTTTATCTTATGATCATAAGACCCCCAAATGTAAAATGAATTAAAATCCCAATTTTCCTACATCTAATGTACTTTAATAGGATCGATGAGGCTTTGGCCTAGTGGCAAAGACTAAGGGTTTGTGTATGATAAGTCACAGGTTTGAATATATGTCTTTATTTGTAAATTGTAATGTCCTTGTGGCTCATTCGCACAAAAAATAAAATGTATTTTAATAGGCATGGTCCATTGTAAAGTGACAATTATAATATATGATTCAAATGTTCTCTTAGTTTAGCTAGGTAGGAAATGCATGCATGCATGAACCATGCAATTACAACATAGGTATAAATTACCTTCTCCTCCCACGCAATTGGCGGCGATCCTCATCATTAGTGTCAATCACCTCATCCTCCTCATCACCAATGCAATCTCCTAGGCGTCCATTACACGTACGCATGATAGGCAGGTCGCCGTCACCATTAGAGGCCAAGGACCGGGACATTCCCCAAGTCGAATCATCGAACGATGAGTATGACTCGGTCCCAATCACCAAGGCCAAGAGAACAACAACAAGCCATAGTTTAAAAGCCATGCAACTTTCTAAGAGAAACCAAAAATAAAATGAAGAAGAGAGAAAAGATATAAAATGTGTGTTATAATTTATTAAGGGCTATTTGATATATTTTCTTCCCTTCTTGTCCAAATACGTAGGAAATTGGAAAGAATATAGGTGGTTATTAGGGTAATGGAATGAGAGAAAGAGGGGGAGATGGATGGTGGTGAAAATGAGGAATTTTGAGGGTGAAAAGCCAGTTAATTATGCTTTGTTTATAATTTTTAATTTGGTTTTTAGTTGGAAAATTATGATTTGTAATGTGTGTTAGAACGTTATTTTCGTAGGGATATGGTTGTAAATGTTTTTTTCTTCCCACTTTTTTCTTGCTATATAGTGTTATTTTTAATTTTTTCATGTTCTTGACCAAATGTTCAACATTATTTCCAAATTAAGGTTATTATATAATTGGTTTTATGAGTTTATTTCGGTTGGTTTGTTGACATTTTCATGTAAAATTTCCGTTTAGAAAATTGCAAGTTATTACAATAAGAATAATTGATGTGAATAGGTTCATAAGAGAACAACCACAAGTTTTAGCTAGTCCGGCTAACCGGTATAAGTTACATATTGAAAAAATGTAGGGATACTTGTTGAGCTGGAACAACTCACATGTGAGCATTCTCTTGTCCCACATTAAAAACACTAAAGGGGGAGTGTAGTGATAATGAAATCCCCACATTGAAAGAATTCAAGAGTTACCACTACAATATAAGGCTAATAAGGGGCTACTCCCCTCATTGCCATATGGTTTTGAGGTAGAACCTTCTTGGACTTGTGAAGTGGTGGACTTACACTCTCTCGTGACGGGTGCGGTCCAGACCCGTATTTATCAATACCAGATACAAATATAAGTTACTTATTGAAAATGGTAGGGATACAAATATAAGTTACATATTGAAGGGAGAAATCAAAATTAACACAGACAAGAGTAATGGATGTCAAACAACAATTCTATCCTAAAAAGTTACTCTAAAAATTTACATTCTTGCCCTCCCACTTTCTTACCCTAGTCAAGTAAAAATAGATTGTTAATGTCTTAAATTGTCATTTCATGTGTTCAACTAACAAACAACTACAAACAATAAGCTAATTTTGCTAAACAACTCTACATAATAAGCTCTTACCAATCAGCTAGTCAAAACAACTAATGTAACCAGTTCATCAAACCAGCTCTTACCAACAAGCTAACCGCTAATTACCAAACAGAGCCATATACTTATTTTATTTTTTCTTCTCCGTCTTGTTTTTGCTTGTTTATTAACTTGATCATCCATTTTTAACCTGTAGCCCACATTAGCCGGACTATAGCTTTGGTCCAAAAAATGTGACCCTTTAATTTGCAAATCCAACTCAGTATTGACTAGCAGAGCCGACTATAAGGTACAAATTTTTACCTACACCCAACGAAAGGGAACACTGCTTGCACCCCCCACCCCCTCCGAGCGTGTTTTGCACCCGCCTCTTTTCATTTACGAATTTTCTGCAAATTTTTATAAAATGTTCATTTATGTATTGGTAAATGTTCATTTGTGTATCATAAGATGTACATTTTTATAACAAGGAGTTTTTTTGTTCAAATTAATATATATATTTTGAATTGAATTTTAAGAATTTTATAAAATAAAAATGAGAGCAAATTTATTTATAGGATTACTGCGTTCTAATCATTTTTATTATAAGAAGTATTGCATCATACAATGTTCATTTTTGTTTATTCGTGTTTCAACATATGTTCATTTTTGTATCATAATCAAATGTTCATTATAAGAGTTATGTGTACGTTTCATAGTAAGATGTATGCAAATACATACGTCTTAAATTCTATTTATTTAAATAAAACGTTGTTAACAAATAATTTCCAATATAAAATAAATTTAATTTAATTTACAATAATTACACATTTCTATACAAATAATACAACTATACCATTATATGTAATTGTTCCATAAACATGAAATTGAACCTAATGTACATATGTGTCTTGCTAAATGAACATTATTTGTTACATTTGATGTAATAAAGTGTGTGTATATATACTTGATGCAAATCTAATCATATATATACTTATGTGTTTCCCATGAAAAATATAATTTGAGCACAATATAAATGTTTCCTTCAAACTTCTTTACCGGATTATCCTGTACAATAAGATATCGATCAAGTTTTTCAAAAAAAAATAAAAAAATTAAAAAAAATAATAACAACACATTCCAAACAAAAGTATGTGAAATCTAAGGAATATATTCAAAATTGAACATTTACTCATGAATAACAATTATAATCCATAAATGAACATACTACAAAGATATAAAAAACTTTCAATATATGAGAATGAAAATGTATAAAATCTAAATGAACATGTATTGTATTTTAAATGAACATTTAAATCTTTTCCATTAAACAAAATATGACAATTAAATCATTCACAAAAACAAATTTGAACACATTGCTAGAAAATGAACAAATATAAATATCTAAATGAACATACACCAAAAGTCAAATGAACATTTTCAATACCAAAATGAACAAATAAAAAATTTGATTAAGCATTTTTTTAATATAAAATAATAAACAAGTATTAAAAATTGAAACAAATATCTTTTAATATGAGAATGAAAAAGTATAAAACTAATGAATATGCTTAGATATAAAAATAAATATTGTATTATGCAAATGAACATCTTTCCATATGATCAAGAACATGTAATGTACCCACCTACAGTAGGTGGGTAGCAATTTCAAAAAGAATTGATTTGTCCTTGTCATGCTGGAATTGTAAAAAAACATGTAATGTAAAGAAAATGAACATGTATCAAATTTAAATGAACATATATTAATATGAAAATGATTATGAATTCCATTTAAAATGATTTTTTTCCATCTAAAAGGAACATTTATGATAGATACTAAACTCGTCAAATAACACTTTTTAGTGATAAAGTAAGTAATATTAAATGATGATTGACGCTGATCAATTTCATAAATCAAATTGATAATTTGTCTTTTATTTTAGTTATTATAAATTTATAATTTGATTTTTTTTTTTTTTTTTTTGCAATTATAATTTGAAAATTTATACTTCTACAAATGAACATAAAGTCCATCTAAAGTGAACATTTATGATAGAATAAATGTACTAGTCAAAATCACCGAATAACAATTTTAATTAAATTATAATATAATTATGGAAAATTCTTATAACATAATTCAGTTATTATAATAAGAATCACTTCCATTAAAAACTATGAGAATCACAAAATCTAATTGAAATTCTTATTAGATATGTGAAGAATTCTAATGATTATTT